CTACTATGCTGCATAATGAACTACCTCAGAACTCAGAGGATTTTTAAAAGAAAACCTTTTATTTCTCAGGAGTCTTGGATTGGCTAGGAGCTTCTTCAAGTCTTGACTAGACCTACTCCTGTGTCTCTAGTCCCCTTAGGACCACGATGGCAGCTCTGCTTATTGAAGCTCTCACACATTTGCCCAGGTATAGATTGGTCTAGAGTGGCCTCAGCTAGGACAGCCAGGCTTTCCTCCAAATCATATCTTCTCCTTTGTCAGGCCAGGCTTATCTGCTTCAGGATAGCAGGATACCAAGAAAGAGAGGTGAAGAGCACAAGGCTTCCAGAGGCTTATAGCTGATACACTGTCTTTTCCAGGGCAGTCTATTGGCCAGCCTTTCACCAGGCTATGCAGATATAGGGGCATGGAGGGGCTGGGTTTGTAGCTCAGTAGTTGAATGCTTGCCTCTCATGTGTGAGGCACAGGGTTGGATCCTCAGCACCACAATAAAAAATAAAATAAAATAAAACAAAGGTATGAGGGGCATGGAAATAAGTTTTACCTCCTAATGGACTTTCTGAATCGCATTCCAAGGGGATACCAATATAGAGAGGGAAGTAATTGGGGCAATGTGTGCCACAGGAAAGAAGAAAGATTTTTAGAGGGGCAAAGTCTGCATAAGGTCTATGTGCTGTTGTTGTAATAGGAGTACAGGGAATTGTAAGCTATTGGAATTGAAGAATGATAAATTTCAGGACTGATGCTGGTAGAAAATGAGGGATTGAAGGGAGGAAGACTAGGCTGGAGATGCCATTTGGAGAAGTTTAGAAAGTGTTGTTTGGGTAGACAGAACTGTCTAAGTGAATGGGAATGCCATTGTGAGTTCCGTTACTTGTTTTCTGTCAATGGTATGAGTTTAAAGTGAACTAACATGTGGTGGGGAGGTCAGATAAGGTTGTGTTGCCAAATTCTAGACTAGGATAATTATTATGAAGGCCTGAACAATGCCAAGGGAGATGTTCATCCAAGCGGGATAAACCTGACAATCGGAATTACTCAAACAGACCCTCTTGAGCCAAGCACTCTGTTATGTACTTGAGAAACATCAATGAGCATTTCCTTTCTTTAGTGTCACAAAGGCCTTCCAGAGCTTAGGAGGTCTAATATAAGTCTATCTTTTCTCAGGCATCCTGCCATTAATCATGCAGGTAAATAGTTGGCAAGAATAATTCCTGGCTTACATAGCTAAGAAATCATGGCCATGTGGCAATTTACAATGAACTGTGTTGGTTTGGGCTGCAGTTTTCCCTCTGATATATTGAATCATCACAGCTTTTAATAATAATGTTATTATTTTGGTTCACATAAATAATGAAGGTTTTGCATAAACTTTTGTGATTTTCTACCTATGTAATGGCCTCCCTGGGCCCCATTTCCAGTCTTTCTTCTATCTTGGGTAGCTGAACTTTCTTTTCCTAAATTCAGCCCGACCTTAGCCTGGTAACAGAGCCCAGATCTAGGAAGGAGACATATTCAAGAAATATCTCTTTTGAAGCTTCTGTTTTCAGTTGTCAGTGAGACTTGACTCTGGTTTCCCCTTGACCTGGTTTCTCAGTGTCCCTGTCCTTTTCTTCTGCTCTGTTCAAGGTCAGCCCAGCAGTAGTGGCTTCATGAGAGCACACACCACTGCCTACCTTTCTTTGTGCTTACTCTTGGCCTGCATGACCTAAAATCCATGTGCCACCTGCTGCTGAACTTCCTGGACCCTGCGTTCAGTTAAGAGCTTTCTGATGGCATGTGTCCCGCATGTGCTTTCTCCCTCCTCCCACCCACCTCACCTAGCTCCATCACACACATCTCGTTCAAATCTACTTTTAATACTCAGGTTCATGTGTATTTGTTGCCAAGAAAAGACTCTCCCTCTGCCCCCATATTCCTACAGTGTTACTCAGCTTTTGCATGCATTTGTACCTGTGGTGTTCCAGTGAATGAATTTAGAGGTAATTCAGAAGCTCATATATAATATTTTTAACTAAATCTATTATGTGTTTAGCATAATCAGAACTCTCCTTCCCGGATTTGGAAAGTTAAGAGGAAAAGTGCATTTGTATTTAAAATAAACTTTTTCTCTAATTATTGCATATATTTCTGAGAGACTATGTGGGGGCAAAAATGTTCATGAGGGTTTACGAATTTGCAATCAAATATAGTGAAATTTGAAAGTAAAATTTTCTTTTAAAAATGAGTTTCTTCTTTCAGACTTCTTTCAGAAAATATTTATTATTAGCATTATTTGCTTTTTGTTGCTCCCAGTAAACCACTTTGAATCCCTATTCTCTTCCTCTCAAATCCCACTATGATTCATTTAATTCTGTGCAGAAAACACATATGGTTGTCATTTTGGAATTAAATGTAAAACAACTGTGTTTTGTGGATTCCTAGAGATCTCTCATAAAATTATAGTTCTGGATTCTGTACTTTTGGGGCATTTGATGAAGCCCCTTCAGTTTTTCCTACATCTTAAAGATGGTACCTAAGTGCTGTATCAATGTATTTAGTTGTCATTCTTTATCAAAGTAGAGCTTCCCAGAAGTATGAGTGATTTTACAGTAGAGATCAAAAAGCAGAAAGGATAGAGGTTAGATGATTTCCCTTCACCTTATTTAATGATTGTTGTAAGGTTCTTAAGATTTTAATTGCAATCTGTAAGTTATAGAATACACACACACAAACACACACACTTATCTGGTATATAACTCTTTCTCTTACATAGATAAATCCCTGCTTAAGGACAAGGCTATTTTGTGTCTTTTCCCCTTTAATGCAACCTCTGGCTCATGCCAGTACCTTTTGTATAATGCATATTATGTGTTTGTTGTGGTTAATGATTAGTTACGTGTTATTCTTTTGGGAATATCCAGAAATTTAGAGCTTGTAGCTGCCAGTTTGTTCACCTTCTCACCTTCCAGTTCATATCTTCCCCCTTAGTTACAGAGCACTGATGGCTTTACCTTCCCTCTGGCCCTGTACTCAGCCAGGGAAAGGTTTCTCCAAAAAGGATCAAGTGTGATTAACCTAAACCAATCATAATGATTGTATCTGATTTCCAGGGTTTCCTTTAAACATGTGTTTGTGAAATAATTTTAGCCAAAGAGACACTAAGAAAAGTCCGCTTAGTTTCTGGAAAGTTTCCCCCTGCTCTTAAAATGAAATGTGAAAGAAGGAACAACACATTGTGCTTCTGGATGCCATCTGTCTATAGGTGATTGGCGTAGTAGCCACCATGGGGAATCATGAAGGAGCCAATTTAAGAGGAAAACCAATATACTTCAAGAAGCAGAATGGAAATAGGGATTTTTAAAAACTATTGGACCAACCAATCCTAGTAGTATGTTTCAGTTCTTTTTATTTTTGTAAATGTTATTATTTTAGCTCTCTTTAGCATACCAGCAAGGTTCAACACAATGAAAAGCTTTTAATAGTTGAGTGTTTACCAAAAAAAAAATCATGTATTGAATAAATGTTCTAAAAAAAAAATACACATTCATTATCATTAGTCAACCATTCTTTCTTTCTCTGCCATTCAACCATTCTGGCCACAGAATAGAAGAGTTTTGGATCTAGTGCTGATAAAGTGGAAGCAATTGGTAATCATACTTGAGGGCTAATAGGTTGCTTGAGCAGATCTCTACTATTTCTATTCTAGGGAGAACTGTAGACCTGGAGTCATATTGAGACACTCATCCTTGGAGGATGAGTTGGTAGTTATGAAACTCACTGCATGATGAGAGCCCAGACCTTATAGTACATCAGGGATGAATGAGTTTGGACTGGTTCCCCTCTCCCAAGGCTGTTCCATTAGCACAGACTTTCTTAATGTTATAATTGATATTTTGAGCCAGATATCAATGTCTTTATTGTGTGGGGTCTATTCTCTACATTTAATGATGTTTAGCTGAATCCTTGGCTTCTAGCCACTGTTGCCAGTAGTGCTCCCCAGTTGTGATAATCAAAAATATCTCCAGAAATAGCCAAATATCCCCTGGAAGGCAAAATTACCCTTGTTCAGAACCACTGTGTAAGAGATAGAAGATTGTTTCTCATGAAGCATTTTGTCTCAAGACTCAAGCAGAAGAGAAGGGTGGGAGGTTCTGAATACCAATGCCTTAGTTACTCCATTAGATTGTGAGAAAAATGTAATGAGTGTTTACAAATTGTTCCTTTTAACAAGGAAACTGTTGATTGTGATATGTTTTGATCCAAAATAGAGCTGCTACTTAAATTTTTCCCCCTTCAAAAAATCATCAAAATCAATAAAACAACATTAGAAAAACATTATTTTTAAACCTTATCCCCAAAGGTTAAATTATCAATTTAACAAATAGCCCCTAAGATAATAGTGTTAAACTGTCTTAGTCTTTACTTTGTCACTGTTAACCAATCAGCCAGGAATTCACACCTCATTTGAAAGTAGGAAAAGTCCACCCATATTGACAGCTCAGATTTTAACTGACTCATACCTAAATAAAATTGTAGGAATAGGGTAATTTTACCAATTTCCATTTTATTTTTAAGAGCATATATTAACTAAAATATTATGAACCAGGGAGTATAATAAATGGCTTTTGTCAAAATGACAAACTCTCCCAAAGTACCTATGTTTTAAAAATATTGGAGTCTATTTTGCACATTAGCAAATAGGGCCTTTCTTTTCCTATTTGGAAGCTTTTCAGCATTCCTGGTACACAGATTTCCTCTAGGTATTAGATAAATACTTGAGCAACCTTTGGCAATTTATTGACTCTCTGAAACAGACTTTAGGTGAGGATTTAAAATAAAACAAATATTTCAAAAGGCATTTAAGTTATCTCCCAGGTTTAGAACCCTACAATGTATTTTCCTTGTTTTTCTTTACCAGGGGATAAAGTCCTCAGTTTAACATTTACGACTCTTCTTAGCCGTTGCCTTTCCTTCCTTATCTCTCCTCTCTTGCCATGTTCCTTCCTGTCATGGGTTTTTTGTTTTTTTTTTTTTTTAATTTTTTATTGTGGGTTGTTCAAAACATTACAAATTTCTTGACATATCATATTCCACACTTTGATTCAAGTGGGTTATGAACTCCCACCTTCACCCCATACACAGATTGCAGATTCACATCAGTTCTGTCATGGGATTTTAAAGCTACCTGAAATCTTCTTTCCCACTCATTGCATTGGTAAATCCAATTCATCTTGCAAGTCTCATTTTCAAGAGCCATGCTCTGATCCCTAATCTAAGTTTGGCCCTCTTTCCATGTATTCTTTCTCTTGATACTCAATGCTTTGCATTTAGAGCCCTTCCCATACTTTGCAGTTATATATGTGTATGTTGATTAGTTTCAGTTCTGACCTCAGTAGATAATAAAGGCCACAAGAGTATGATCATGTCTGTTTTCTTCTCCAATATATGCTCTATTCTGAGTTTTTACCTAGCACATACTCAGAAACTGCTTCAGTGAATAAAGTTGAATTGGCAAGATAGGATTGTATCAGGCAAACAATGTATATTTGTACCCCATTCTTTTTATGTTGAATCTTTAGGCCTGGTGCAGGCTTTTTATGTTGGCAATGGGAATGATTTTCTCCTACTTCCCACAGAATGGCAGGTCAAGTGGCATGGAGACCATATATGACAACTGGTGCCTGATTAGGCATGTATGCTAATACGTGAATGATTTCTATTTTTGCCTTACAGAAAGAAAAATAATACAAAGTAGTTAGGTACTTTTTCATTCTACTCATACATAGGAAAAACTCAAGGTGTTTAAAAAACAAATAGCTCTTAGATGTTTATTGCTTTCTAGTGTACTCACATTGGGGTGTGTGTGTGTGTGTGTGTGTGTGTGTATCTAGGATCTATATATGTGTATATATATCTTGACTCATTGCTTAGCAGCTTTCTGGCCAACAGGAGTTGAGTATGCAGTGCTCTAATATAAACCCCTGGATTGGCTAACTGTCTCTGATGTCATAATTTCCCCATTAAGAAGTCATAATTTTCTTGAAATCACATTGTACTAATAGCACCTCTTGTTATGTTGTTACATTATAAGAAAGATAATCTACCAGAAATAAAAATTCTGGAAGCAGCAAGATATCTCTGTTCCTCACAGACCTTTTCCATTTGTGTGCTTTAGAAATCTATTGCCAACACTTGAAGCTAGCTTCTTTACTTTCTTTTACAACTGATGTTATTTTGTTTTCTGCGTTTGTCAGTTAATAGGCAAATGGAGGAATGAGCCCAGTTAGAATTACTCCTTCAACTCATAGGTCTGTTTCATCTCGACTGTGGAGGCTTAGCATCTTTCTACTACTTAGCCTTCCTGACTCAAAAGGAAAAGCAATATGGACAGCTCATCTGAACATAACATTTCAGGTGGGAAATCAGATTATATCAGAACTAGGAGAGAGTGGAGTGTTTGGGAATCATTCTCCTCTGGAAAGGGTGTCTGGTGTAGTGGTACTTCCTGAAGGATGGAATCAGAATGCTTGTAATCCATTGACCAACTTCAGCAGGCCAGAACAGGCAGACTCTTGGCTGGCCCTCATTGAACCGGGAGGCTGTACTTTTACACATAAAATCAACGTGGCAGCAGAAAAGGGAGCAAATGGGGTGATCATCTATAACTATCCAGGTACGGGCAACAAAGTGTTTCCTATGTCTCACCAGGGAACAGAAAACATAGTTGCAGTGATGATAGGCAATCTAAAAGGCATGGAACTTTTGCACTTGATTCAGAAAGGAGTCTATGTGACCATCATCATTGAAGTGGGGAGAATGCACATGCCATGGCTAAGCCACTATGTCATGTCTCTGTTTACCTTCCTGGCAGCCACAATTGCCTACCTTTTCTTGTACTGTGACTGGAGACCTAGAGCACCCAATTCTTCTACCACAAGACGAAGACAGATAAAGGCTGATGTGAAGAAAGCTATTGGTCAGCTTCAACTTCGGGTGCTCAAAGAAGGGGATAAGGAGCTAGATCCAAATGAGGACAACTGCGTTGTTTGTTTTGACATATACAAACCTCAAGATGTAGTACGTATTTTAACTTGCAAGCATTTTTTCCATAAGACATGCATTGACCCCTGGCTTTTAGCCCATAGGACATGCCCCATGTGCAAATGTGACATTCTGAAAACTTAGAAACCTAGAGCATCTTCTGAAGATATAGCCAGATCTTTTCAAACATTATGATTAGATGGATTCTCTTACTGCACTTTATTTATAGAGAAAATTTCAACTTCATCTTCTCTTCTCAAATACTAATGAGGGTGAAATTCATGTGTTTTAAAAATAAAACTCCATATCATGCCCACCTATTTGAACTGTTGTCTTTCTAATCAGTTCTAATTGGTATACATTTTTACCCTTATCCAAATAAGGACATTAGTATATGTTGAAAACAATATTAACCTTTATTTTCAAATTACTGTGACATTGGTGCAATGGGGAATTAGCTCTACCATTTTGTAGTTTCCCTTTTTAAAGTTAATTTTTTGTGTTTTGTTTCTATATTTTGTTTCATTTTGTTCTGTAATAATTTATAATCTCTGCTTAGTAAACTACATTAGAGGATTAGATCTTGCTTTAATTTGCCATGGTTAATTAAGTTTATTAATACTTAGGAAACGTGGTTTCCAAAGCTACTGGCTGTGTGGGTAATATATTCAAAATGATTATTTTAGATGATAGTACTTAGGGTTATGTAACTAAAAGTTTTAAATTGTTACAAGCCCTATTTAGTGAAGCATTGCAAAAATTCACCTCTGTTTGCTGGAGCTCTTTGAATTCTAGCATAGTCAATCATCTTTGGTAGTAGATTGCCTTATGAAAGTATCTCTTGTGGGTGCTTGTTCTTCTCTAAATGGTAGTAAATCTCTCTGAGTATTTTGTTCACAAAGAAAAGCCAAAATTTTGTTCAGTTGCCTTTCCATATTGTATCTTTTGCCTCATTTTGCCTCTTCCTCTTTTCTAATCACGTGAGCATCTATGCGACAATGTGAAGTTGGAAGATTGGGTTTTGTTTTCGTGAAAATCTGTTTGGATCATGTGCTAAACCTTTGATGTCTGACTTAGATGACATTTTGTGAGTCCACACAAGATTTGGACATGATACTGTGCCACACTTTTATTTTTTATGTTTTTTTAAGGGATTTGTGTGGAAACTAAATCAGATTAACGGCCTCAGAGAAAGTGAACCTCTGTGAACTGAAGATTTCCCATCAGTGTTATTTGCTGTTTATGCCACCTGTTGTCAGGCCCATAGAGCCCTTTGCTCTTCTTTCCTGCCTCAAGTTACCATGTTGTCGACTCATATTTCACAAGAAGCTATAACACTCTCAGCCCTGGTGAAGCCTATCTAGAGGCCAGAAACATTTATCTTCAAGGTAAAAATCCTTGGGTCTAGTTTCCTAGCTGCTGAAAAAAGAACCACCACGGTACACCACTCCCCAAAATGTGTGTTGGAAGGAACTTGGCTGCTGGAGTTTGTCAATTTGCATGTCATTGCTTAGTTTTAAAGTCATGTTGTGTCCACTGATATGCAAATGGCAAAAAGCTAGGCAGAACTGACAGGGGTCTTCCACCAGAGAGATTTGTTGAGTTTGACCAATCGTTGTGTTAAAATCATCTATTTACAACTTTTAAGGATTGCTGCTTTCAGTAGCTAAATGAGGACCTTGAAGTTTTCTTTTTAAAACCAATAGCTACATTTAAGAAATGAATTGTGCTAAACTAATATAGTTATACGTAAGCTTTTTACTTACATCCTTTCTCCTCATCCCCTAAAATAGGGTTAGATTAGTAACAGGGTCTACAAAGAAATGAACTTGCCTAGATATTAGTCTTTTCTGTGTTTACTCCTATAATTTATACATATAGTTGACGTGTGAGAAAGTGAGGCAGTAGTGGATTGAGCAAGGGTATCCTGCTCAAAAAATCAAAAGAGGACGAAACCAACAAACTTCTGAGAAAGTTTGTATTAAACAAAGTTAGTACAATGATTTACATGATTAATAAATAATTAACACTGACCACATTCACATTTGTAAAAGTAGAGTTGCTAGGCTCACCACTTTAACCTCTCCCTTAGTCACAGTTCTAATTTGTAATTATAATTCATTAAAAAAACAAAACAAAACAAAACACTTGTCACTCTGTTGGACATATTTTCTTCACTTGTGATGGAAAAATGTCAACTGTACAGTATTTCATGTTTTTAAGGAGCATAGGTTGCATTAACTTTGTATCTGTTTTTTCAGTCCAACTTACTACCTGTAACCATTATTTGTAGCTCAGTGATTGAATCCATCTTATAACAACATAGAAACCGTCCATAACAACATTGGAAATGTATAAGCCAATAAAGTCACAGAATGCTCTCAGCTCTTATCCAATTGGCTGCTTGGTCTTTTATGTCATAATCACATCATGCAACAGTAAGCAGTATCTCAAGTTACAGTGGTGAGACTGGGATATTTTTTTTTTTTTCAATCTAAAGTTTTTCTCTTTCTCTCTCTAATAAAACATCTGAAACTCAAGACATCTTTAAGAATTTCTTACAAAACCATGCTGGGAGACGGTGGGTCTTGTTTTCACCCAGAAGATTTTATTTTCTTCCTTGTTTTAAATTGATTGTCAACATATGTGCGAGCCACATCTTTCTGTTGGGTTGGTTCTTAAGTCATTAGGCGAAGAGAGAGATGACTCTCCTCAAGATTGGCCCTTGGCACAACAACACTGCATCTTCCTGGCTTGTGAAATTCAGTTTTTTTTGGCTGTTTAGTCAGAACTGCTGCGGAGCAAGTGCAGTGTGGACTGCTTTTATGAACATATCATTTCATGTGGGGAATCGCGTGTTGTCAGAGTTGGGGGAGACTGGAGTATTTGGAAGAAGTTCCGCTTTGAAGAGAGTGACAGGAGTTATAGTGCCACCAGAGGGAAAAACTCAAAATGCGTGTAATCCCAATACCAGTTTTAGCAGATCACAGAACTCGGAGCCGTGGCTCGCACTCATTGAACGGGGCGGTTGTACCTTCACACAGAAAATTAAGGTGGCAACTGAGAAGGGAGCCAGTGGAGTGATCATCTATAACTTTCCAGGAACTGGCAATCAGGTTTTCCCCATGTCTCATCAGGCATTTGAAGACACCATTGTAGTGATGATTGGTAACTTAAAAGGCACAGAAATTTTGCATTTAATTCAGAAGGGATTTCATGTTACAGCCATAGTTGCGGTGGGGAGAAAACACATCATCTGGATGAATCGCTACTTTGTCTCCTTTATGATCGTCACAACCGCGACTTTAGCATATTTCATCTTTTATCACATAAGAAGACTTTGGGTAGCAAGGATTCAGCACAGGAGATGGCAGCGATTAACAACAGACCTCAAGAAAGCTTTTGGCCAACTCCAACTTAGGGTATTAAAAGAGGGGGATGAGGAATTAAATCCAAATGGAGATAGCTGTGTAGTTTGTTTTGAACCCTATAAGCCTAATGATACGATTCGTATTCTGACTTGTAAACACTTTTTCCATAAGAATTGCATTGACCCCTGGATTCTAGCCCATGGCACATGCCCCATGTGCAAATGTGACATTCTTAAAGCTTTGGGGATTCATGTGGATATTGAAGATGGAACAGAATCTTTGCAAGTTCTAATGTCAAACGAAATACCAGAAACCCTATCACCTAGGGACGAGGAGACAAATCATGAGCCTCCTCCTGCAAGAACATCAGAAAAAGTGACCCATGTGGAGGAGTACCCTGCTTCTCCAAATAATGCCAGCCAGCCTAATTTAGTACTAGAAACTGTACATCCCTCGCCTTGACAGCATGACCTTTGAGGAAGTGGATTAAACCTGTTTGTCAAATCAGGTGCTAATACTGACAAGCAGTTTGTCTGTTTGAAGTGTGGTTTTTGTGTCCTTTTCTATTACTTGGGTAATTTTCTACAATCTTTGCCAAGCCTCACAGGAAGGAAAAAAAAAAAAAACTTCCCAGGATTTTAAGGTTTAATTTTTGACCTTGGCTAAATGTAACTTATTCCTGTGAGTGTGTATATGTGTGTGTGTGTGTGTGTGTGTGTGTGTGTGTGTATTTCTATGTGTACATGAATGTTAAAAATCAAGGGCAGTTTTTTTTCTTTGAAATATTTTTTGTATATATTTTTGACTTTATTTTGGTAAGAAAATTAAGTTTGGAAAACAAGCTTTATGTTCTAGGAAGAGTAAAAATTATCTTTGCAAAATATTTATACTACAGTATATTACTTTTGATGTGCTGGGCTTTTACATTTTTGGCACAGAAATTTTCCTGTACAAAATTTTATTACTCGATCAACAATTTTGTTCAAGCAATTCGATTTTATGTAATCTGCATAGTAAGGGCAATTTTTAAAATAAAATACTAGTACTTTTTAACTGAACAACAAATATTCAAGTACCTGGTATTACTTGCCATAATTGCTACGTGACCTCAATGCATAGAAAGAGTGAAAAGATATAGAATTCATATGTTCCTTAGTCTTGTCTTTCCTGTGTTCCACTGTTCCACCCCCTCTTCAACTTTTTTTGCCATTAAATGTTTTTAAAATGCCATATTATTTTGGAGATAAGTTGCACAATGTAGACATGCTTATTTTGACATCTTGGGATTATATTAGTTTTATTCACTATATTCCCAAGATCTATCACTGTGGTTGGCACTCAAGTATTTTTTAATTATTGAGTGAAAAAATGAATAAGGATAAATATTTTTCATAATGTATCATGTGTTAATCTGTTAAACTGGGCAATTTATCCCAATAAGACAGCATAATGGAAAATTAATGCTTAAAATATTCATCAAAAATCACCATGACAAAATTTTATAATAGTCCAGAATTTATTATCACAGTTTAGCATGATTTGCATAGCAGGTCAGCATAATTTTAATGAGAAGTTTTGAAGTCTCTCAGGCTAACACTGGGGAATGAATTATTGGACAGTTTTAGAGAGAGATCTAGTGAAGAGGAATTTTGTGGATCACTTCATGTTAATAATCCTGGACTTCAGAGACAGGCAAAAGGGAAGTAGTTGGTTTCAACTGCAGCCCCAAGGGAGACCATGTAAAAGGATGATGAAGCATGTATTTAAGGCCATTAAGAGTCAGAACTTAGTGAGACCTGGACAGATGATGAGATGGGGTTGATGTCTTGCTTGGTACACAGAATTTTTATACCCACCCTGGAAAGGTTTTACCATGTTAATCCCAAGAGCTACTCTTTGAGAGAACTATATAGCACTAAGGCTCCTGATGATGTAGCAGGACCACTCTTTTGAGTGCCATTTTGAATTAATTCTTCCTTGAGTGGCCAAGTCCACATTGAAGAAAGAAGACCCTGAGGGCCCTATGATAGCCACCTCTGGGAGGATCAGCTCCTAAACCAGGAAAAGTGTCATTTTTAGACTGACCACCATAGGTGTGTCTGCCACTAGAGGCAAGTAATTGATAGAGGTGGCTCCAGTGATTTCCTCTGGTTGCCCCAGAGATTTATGTGCACCCAGTCCCCAAACCTAGAGTTCTAGGATTGTCATAGCCACTAGCACGTTTGTGTGGGGTACTTATTCTGTGATAACTTAGCACCTGAGGAATTTGTTTTTCCCCTCTGAGTGCCATTGTGTTCTCTTTCCATTCTTCCTCAGCACCCCTATTGATTTCTCCTTTCCTCTGTATCACTGTCAAACTTAAACTCAACTTACCCCCTTGTGTAAGAATTTACCACATATTCACTTCTTTATAAGATGCCTGTTAATGTAAACATTGAATGTTTAACACAGTTTGCTTGTCTTGATTTGAGAAGTTTCAATGAATGTTTATTAAAGGGAACCTATTGGAGGTCGGAAAGGAAGGGTCAAGTCAGTGAATTTGGGAACTGTGTTCCTGAGAACCTCCCATATACCAGGTGGTGGACTATAGGCTCTATGTAGCTGTTTCTTATATGTCAGAACAAAACAGCAGTTTTAATCCTTGTCTTCGGAATGTTGTAAACAGATCAATAAACTACTTTTTGCTCTGGGTTTAATAACCAGGACCTGGAAATAGCTCTGCCATGTCAAATGTTAGATATTATTCATTGTGGTAGATTTTTACCTATTCTGAGGGTTTGTCATTTTCTCTTGTACCTAGTGATACAAATATAATTTGCTGTAATGACATGGGACTGTAATATGAATTATTTTGCCACCAATACCAGTGTCATAATGAGTTTCCCTGGTACTTTCTCCTTAAGTGCTATGTAGTTTTTGCAATCTCTGGAAATGAAAGGTTGATGCTTTGTCCCCTGATCAGTAGGGGGTTGATGTTCCTTATAAAAATTAAGCTTTCGTTTTCATCATCACTAGACTAAATTAGGTTTAATTTTTTATTAAAGAAATTGTCTAGGGGACTTTATGTGACCAAGTGATACTGTGGATGAAATTATGTATTTTGTCTATTGATTACTTATTATTATATGACATAGCAGTGATAATGTCCTTGTTTCTTGCTTCAGAGTTGGTATAATATAATTTTCCTGTGGAAA